CCGCTGGGTGTAAGCAATCGTGTTGCTTATTGAGTACGATAGGCATACGGTGTTCGACAGTCTTAAGACTGTTTCCGTGACTCATGATTAGTGTCATCGAGTTGCGACCCTCAATTCCACTTGAGACCGGTTAACTTGACATTTCCTCGCCAGCATTTGACCCAACCAAATGCTGGATAGCAACCTTATTGTTTGGATGCTATTCCTTTCACCGTTTAGATACTTTGGAAATGTATCTTTTGTTTGCCTTCGGACTTCGTTTACTTTTCCGCTGAGTACTTTTCTTATTCACGCATTTTGCTGGCTTGGGACACAACGTGTCTGGCCTTGCTTTGTGCTTTGCGCGTTTGTTTGTACTCGGATCCCTACCTTCGTCGCGTTTTCTTTTCGCTTTTTCGGACGATTTCTTGGCGAGCGCGATGTCCAGATCATGTTTTGATCGGTATGCGGAAATCATTTCGTGGCATTGCGGCACTTCGTCGGCACGATACATCAGATCTGATTCAGGACCGTATCCTTTCAGTCTTAGACGATATCGATAGTTGTGCGGACCTTTTCGGCCTTGACCGCTTCGATGCCCTACCACTTTCAACACGACGTATCTTTCAATTTTCGGTTGATTTTCGTCGTTTGCTGTCAGGGCAGGTAAGGGAATTTGTTTCCCAAGGAAGTTTTCNTTTCGTGGCATTGCGGCACTTCGTCGGCACGATACATCAGATCTGATTCAGGACCGTATCCTTTCAGTCTTAGACGATATCGATAGTTGTGCGGACCTTTTCGGCCTTGACCGCTTCGATGCCCTACCACTTTCAACACGACGTATCTTTCAATTTTCGGTTGATTTTCGTCGTTTGCTGTCAGGGCAGGTAAGGGAATTTGTTTCCCAAGGAAATATTCCGCCAGTTTTCCAAACTGTGGTGCTGGTGGTTTTTTCCTTTCATGGTACTGTTTTAGATGGGCAAGATGCACGGATATTTCTCGTGTTTAATCGACTCGCTTCACCCTATACACAACTGGAGACAGTTGTGAGCAGATGGTATATGGTCCTCGCCACGGTAAGAACAGCTTCGGATTTGGTCCATCTATATCCTGGTGTGGTCGGTATACGAGTACCTGTTGACCAGGTTCAACGACGGGGTACTGCGGTTACTTTTCGTTTTTCGCAGCTTGCTTCTCTGCACTTTCCGTGAGGTTTCTTCGCGCTAGTTCGAAAGCAATTTGTAGATGTTCTCGTGTATTTTTAGCAAAACTCTCGGTATCTGCAGTTGATCCTACATGTGGGATTCCGAGAATTACATCTACCGGTAACCGTGCTTGGCGACCAAACATCAAGAAGTACGGTGTCTCATGCATGGTTTTATTAAACGACGTATTATACGCTAGTTGAACCATTGGCAGGAGATCCGCCCAGTTGTCACGATTCATGGAGCTATGCATTGCGAGCATGGAATGCATCGTTGAATGCACACGCTCAGAGATCGAATTACCTTGCGGACGATACGGCGTCGTGCGTGTTTTCTTGTAGCCCAACATTGTTTGCAACTAATAGATTATCTTATTTTCGAATTCAGTGCCTTGATCAGTGTGCAGCATTTCAGGCGGGCCAAAGATACTGATAATCCGATCAATGATTACACGTGCTACCGTTTCAGCAGTTTTGTTTGGAACTGGTGTGAGAATTGCATAACGCGTCAGGTGGTCCATCATGGAAAGCACGTATTTGCATCTCACTCCGACTGCTGACATTGAGAGTGATTTGTACTCGACTAGGTCGACTGATACTCTTTCAAACGGCCGCTGTACAGGTACGTGACCCGTCGGCAGTTTCGGACGGCGGTGAGGTGTCTTTCTCCGTTGACAGGCCTGGCATTCTAGGCACCAAGTCCGGATGTCACGGTTCATTGGCTGCCACCAATATTTTTGGCGTATTTTTTCGTACGTTGGACGAAATGCGAAGTGTCCACCTGAAAGAGCGTGATCATGGTATGCGTGCATCACTAAACCGGTGAGGTCATGTGGGACTACAAGTTGATCACTAAAAGTGCTTCGTTTTCGTAGGTGTCCTGGCAGATACGACTTAAACAGTAATCCGTCTTGTATGGAATAGTACGACATTGATGTTGCCGTTTCGTTGTCTGGTAGCGGTGCTTTGGCGTCTAAAATGTATTGGACATATTCGCCGTATTCTTCGGCTTGTTTCTCGCGCAATTTCTCATACTTAACAGATTCAAATATTTCCGTGGCGCTGACGAAATTTGAATTGACTGAATAATTCCCTATCACTAAGGACTGGTTGCACATCATCGAATTTGTCGGTCCAGACTTGGTATGGTCTGTTTGGCATGTGTTGTTGCAGCTTTGGATCGTCCGGTACATTTCGGCAAATCGGTGCAAGGTTCGGCGCAGTTCGTCCTTGTTCATTATCGAACACGAAAAGTCGCGATAACGTATCCGGCACTACATGCAACTTTCCCGGTTTGTGTTTTACCGTGAAATCGAAGGATTGCAGTGCTATTGCCCATCTAGTGAGCATATTTGACGTGTCTTGCATTGTATAAAGATGTCGCAATGCCGCATGATCCGTTACGCACGTAAAATGTCTACCCCATAAATAAGGACGCCAGTGTTGAATTGCTAGAACAACAGCATAGCATTCTTTCATGGTAGCAGTGTAGTGTTGTTAGCTTTTGTTGAATCGCTGGCTAAAGTATGCTACGATATTCACGTCATCGCCATTCTGTTGTGCCAGGAATGCTCCTGCTCCCACTTCAGATGCGTCTACGTGGATAACAAACTCTTTAGAAAAGTCCGGAAAATGCAAAACAGGAGCGTTGGTGAGTTATTGTTTCACTTCGGCAGATGCTTCATCATGTTGCGGACCCCAGCGTTTCGCTACCGACTTCACTGCGTCTTTCTTCGTAAGGTCGGCCATTGGTGCGGTGACGGCGGCTAAGTCTGGGATGAATTTCCTGACATAGTTGACCGTTCCTAGGACTGATCGCAAACTTTTGATGTTTGTTGGCGTTGGCAACTCTAGTATCGATTTTATCCGATCTTCACCTAAACGTATGCCATCTGCGGAAAGAATATGCCCCAAATACTTCACTTCCTTTGGCCCAAATTGTACCTTCGATGGTTTTAAAGTAAGACCTGCGGCTTGTAGCGCTTGAAAGGTATTTTCCAAAAGAGAGATATGACCCTCCCATGTAGATGAACAACAAATGAGATCGTCCATGTACACGAGAAGACCAGATTTTGGACCAAAATGTGCGAAAGTCAATGCCATCGTACGTTAAAACAGAAAAGGCGCATTGGCGATGCCAAAGGGCAGTCGTTTAAAAACCCATTTTCCGTCCCGAGTAACGAATGCAGTCTTGTCTTGTTCTGCTTTGGCAATTGGTATTTGGTGGTATGCACTTTGTACATCGCAGACTGTGATGTATTTAGCACCTGCTACTGTGTCAATATGACTTGCATCTCAGGCATTGCCCACGATTTACGAATTTAATTCTTGTTTATCGTCGCTCTGTAATCTACACAGAATCGGGGGCTGCCGTCGGCTTTTGCTACCAACGTTACTGCTGACCCCCATGGGCTCGCTCTTTGCTTGATTATCCCAGCTTCTTCCATTTCACCAACACATTTATTTGTCAATAACCTCTTGCATTCGTGGATTTGCACGATATGGAGCTCTGTTGACTGGTTTTGTTCCTGGTTGCAATGGAAAATCAGCCTCTGTGAGAGTACATTTATTTGCCCAGTTCTTTAGGACTCAGGGAGAATACTGAACGGTATTTGGTACACAGTTTAAGTATTTCTTCACACTGGTCGGGCGAAAAGGTTGTATCTCTGAAAGCTTTGGCTAATGCCTTCTTGAGATCTGTACGGTTTTTTTTCGTTTCTTCCGGGCTCGTTTGAACGCTGCTCATTATTTGTGGCAGTACTGTTTTCACTGGAGAAATATAGCCGATAAGTGTGTTTCTTTTCAGGGATACCGATCTGTGAGAAGGGTCGGCTAGTTGTACCATTGCACTTTTGTTGTGCTTATACCAGTGACAGACTGTGCGTGCTACGATCACCCTACGGAATGCATCTGGTGTATCCTGCTTCCCAACGTCATCGGACGTAACGATGCGCGGTTCAACTGCGGCCGCTGTGGTTTCATCTGGCGCTTGAAGCGAATGAATTTCGACAGCTATTTCATGTTGTGCAGGTATGCTGCATTTCCGTGTAGTGTATACAGGCACTGTAGGTGTGTCCCTCTCTACTGCTACTACAGAACAGTTCGTGCTGTTTTCCTGATCGGTCGTGGGATAGCGCGTTTTGCGGTGGACTGCTGGAATTTTGGTCGTTGTTGTTTTAAACGACAATTCTTCCGCTTGCCAATCAAGAACACCACCAAATGCGCCCATTATGCTATTGTCGAGTAGCATATTATCAGGTCCCAACGACGGCAGCACTAGAGCTTCAACAGGTAATGTGATTTCTCCTAGTGTCAGTTCAAATCGAGTGTACCCTGCAATTTTCAGGGGTGAACCATCGGCGCTGCGCAGATTGATTGCTCCCGGGGGTACTGGAAATATTTCCGTGTTTTTCAACGTTTTGTGACTTATTATGAACTTCCGTGAAATGCATCGTATGTCACACGCCGTGTCGATTGCTATTTCGTCAACCGATTCATTGTTTATTCTGGCGGGTACACGTACTCGCTTGGATGTCGATCGCAATACCGATGGACACACGGGATATCCAGCGAGTGGGGACATGTAAAAAGCATGAAATTCTTCATTACGGTCAGTTCTCATTAGGTTAGACCTATGTTTCGACCTGAAGTCCCCAGCTACGGTAGCTACGTGCAAGGCTTGTGGCGCTAAACAGGCGACTACTTGCCTTACTTGGGTGCTATCCCATAGTGCTGGATCTACAGCGGCTACTGCGTCAGTTGTGCGGGTACTTGACTTTGGAACTCCTCGCGTTTGCTTGCTGCTACAACCTTCGCGAGAATGTTCTCGTGGTACATGTACTTCAACTGTCTTTCTATAGCGCTGCTCTTCGACTGCTTTTCTTGTTGTTCCCACCAGAGAGATCGTACACCATTGTTACAGTGTTTTGAATCCCTCTCATCTACTCTGGCTCTCTTCTGCTTGCTCGTGTTTTGCAGTCTATCCCAGTTTGTACGTACTGGTCTGACAGCACCAAATGATTGGTGTCCCACGTTGGCCGAGGGACGCTGCCTACTCGGGCGACCCTAGTTCTTTGTGACCGTGTACCTCTCGTTCTTGGCTGCCTGTTTATTTTTGCACTCTGCACGGGTGTGCGTAAAGCGAATGTTACTGAAACGATAACCATTAAAGTCACATTCCTTCTTATGTTTCACGGTGTCGGGCTTAGGAGTACCAGCGAAGGATACTTTCGCCTTCGCCCGCGCGGGAGGACCCCGGGATTTGGAATTATTCTTCTCACGTTGGTCGGTCCTCCGCTGACCACGCCCACGTTGGGCGCCGTATGCTCCATCACTGGACACGAACGCTTCCTGCCCTGAAATATAGTTTTCAATGGCAGTGATGCGGTCCTTGTTGTCGTCCGCCGTACTTTGGAGCTGCCCGGGAGGAGCAGAGCCGTATACGGTAGAGGCGGTAGCCGAGATGGGGGCAGGGGGCGAGCGCAGTTTATTGGACTCGTGTCTACGAGCACGCGCTTTCGATTCCATGAAAGAATCGGATGGGTCTGCCCGCATCATCTCTACGCGAATGTGGGGGTGCACACCGTTTTCGAAAGATGCAGGGAGTGCTTGATTGAAAGCGTGTTCATGAGGTGGTACATTCAGCGGAGCTGTGCGTTCAGCTTCGGCTAGAAGTCTGGCATACGCGCGTGATACTCTGAGCGCAAACTCGTCAACTGATTCGCTAGTCTTCGCTTTTAATGTCATGACGTCACGTGCAAGAAGAGCAATTCGGTTGGCGGGAGCGAACGATGTGGTGAAAGCCGTGACCCATTCCCTCCATGTTTTCGGAGGTGTGATTCGGACTACTTCCCCACGTGCACGCAACGCATTTAGCTGAACAGGCGGTCGCCATTCGAGAGATGAGCTAAGCATGAGGCTGAGACTTTGAGCTGCGGCACCTCGCACGAAGAGCGCGAGATGTTTGATTGCGCGGTAATCGATTGTGCTTTGAGAGACGTTGTCTGCAGACAACAGACCGATGTGTGCCCTGTAAAGTGCCATTTTTTCGGGAACATCTTCGTGAGGCAGACCCTCGAGCTTGAGATCAGGAGGTAGGTCAGTAGCTTTCAAAGTAAATCGCACCGTGCTAATCACGTCCTGGTTTATCGTGGTTTGGGTTACCGGGGTAGGGTTGTCCTGGTTTACCGTTTGCTGGTTTACCTGGTTCGGTGAGGCCTGGTTTACCGTGTTGTGGAGTACCGGGTTAATAGGTGAAATTGTCGGTGTAGACATATTCCTAGCAGGAGTCTGTTGAACACTTGCTGTCGTGTGCATGCCAGAGCGATTGTCTGCTTCTAGATCGGGGGGAAGCGAACGCGGATTCACCTTCTGGATGTCTTGCTGGTGAGCGGCTCCCGGCATTAGCATGCTAAGGACCCATGCCGGCGGGGCCTTCTCCGCCTCCACTGCCTTTGAGACCGCGCTGACGAGGACGGCCTCCAGCGGTCCGCCGCTTGCCAGGAGCGGTGAGCTCTGCTGACTAGCGGCGTCGGCGCGGTTCTGCAGGATGTAGTGCGCAAGGTCGTCGTCGACGTTGTCGTCATCGTCACCCTCAGGGGTTGGGTCGGTGTCGAGGTTGCCCGCCTCGGCGCCGTCGCTAGTGCTGCTGTTATTGTCGCTGTCGCGACCCTCACCAACCAGTGCGTGAAAATATCCGCGATGGTGACCGCTCTGCGAGGGTGCTACGCTCGCAGACGCCCCGGCGGATTCTCCCGTTTGGGTAGGCTTCGGCTGTCCCTCTTGGGGCTTAGCCGAGCCATGGTTGGTGTTAGCAGTAGCGTCGGGACGCGGCGTGGCTGGCGGTTTGGGTGTCGTCAGCTGCTTAAGCTTTTTCGGCCGTTGCTGCTGTTGATGTGACCCTACGTCCTTTTTCTTTCCTTGCTTCCTTGGATTGCCCATGTTTCACACGTGGGGATCAAAGATGCAAAGATAGAACGCTTCGTCGAACGCCAATATGGATGCCCTCTACTCTGGGTGAGCGGAGAGTCCGGGGTTGTGGTGGCTATGCCCTGCCGCCGGAGGTTGGCTATTTCCTTTGGTGCAATGTGGCGAGGAATGCCAAGCGTGACCGAGCGAACTCGGTCAAGCTAGGGTGGTGCGGAGAGTGGGCGAGCCTTCGTGGACTCCTTTTCCCATTTTCCTAAAGATCCATCAACTCTTCGCAGCCGTTGGGGTCATAAGAGTTGGGGACCCTCGGAGAACAGTAATCTATTATCACTTGTTCCCTCAGATCCTACTCTTATGTACGTGTATCTGTGCTCCCTGAATCTCCATATCCTGACCTCCACACAGATGTTTTTTTGGTGGCAATCCGTTGTTACCACACGCCCAGCGAGAGGTTCAGCAGTATGGATGATAAAGAGCCGCAGGGTGTGTCATGAAGGTGACAGAGAAAGCTGCGTTCCTGGTTTGCAATTGCTTGATGTTTTTGTGTTTGTTTTGCTGCTGTGGATTGCTATGTGCATACTGCTGTAGCACAGCAAATATAGAGGGCCTTGGTGCGGAAACAAACTGCAAAAACTCGACCATATACGACACTACTTGTATATTTGTAAAGAGCCGCGGAGCGCGAAGCGCGACCTAAAACCACTTCATCTCCCAGGAGGGAAAAAAAGGCTCTAGACTACATATCGGCAGAAAAGTTTGTTTTTCGTGACGCATATTTATCGCACCTTTCGGACCAGAACGAGACCTATAGGGCACCGTTTGACGATCTGTTGATTTCTGAGGAAGAAGAAAAATTACGTGCTCTTCGTCACACCGGTTTGGTCGTGCTTCGGCAAAAGATGGCCGTGCTTCACAGGCATATGTGACCCAAATTCGTAGGAGATCGCATCCCCGCACGTCGAGGAGCTATGGAGAGGAAAAATGCCCAAGCTATCGGAGATAGCGCGCACACACAGACACGCGGTCGAGTTCAAACCCCGGGAGGACAACACCCCATCAGCAGAAGGAGAACAACAGGAAGCTGATCCGAGACCAGCTATCTATGAAAACCAGGAGGGGCCGGGCCTATACGACCTGTGCGCCGTGGGTACAGTCATGCGCCGTGTGTAACCTGGCGAGTGTTTATTGATTTTGAGTGGTGCAACCGACTGCTCCCAAAACAACAGCAGACCGATTATCACAAACGAAGAACACACAACAAACACACCTTCCCAAGTCCAGAGATCGCACCTCCCATAGAGATAATCCGTCGAGGGCGTGAGGGGCTACTGCTTCCGTGCGTTATCAGGATGGTTCCCCGTGGGATCGGTTCAGGTTGCGTACTTGCGCCACCGTACTGACTGTCTTCGCAAAATCCATGCCCTGGCTGCTGTTGCTGCTCGCATCAAAGTCATGACCATCATCAACGGCTTTGTTGTTTTTGTCCCGTGATATATGATACATTATGTAGACTGCTTGCTTTCACTTGGCGAGAAACTCGGAAGGCTTGAGACTAATGTGGCGGGCAAGTTGTGAGCCTGACGCAATTTTTGCCATCTGTCTTGTCACAATTCAATGTCTACGCTGCTGGTCGTGCTCCTCGACGGTGTGATGTGTGACACGCTCGCCGCCAAGGTGCATGCCGCATGCGTGCCTCTTCCAGATGCCCTGATGTGCGTCCGCACAGCGAGAAGACTTCACATTATGTTTCTTCGAGGGTGTGTGCATGTGCATCAACGAAAGAGAAACAACCGCATGTAAAGTGTGAACGGGGCAACATCGTCGCGCCAGTCGCACCCGTGCAGGCTGTCCCTCTGGTGCACGCGTAGCTGCACTGCACCACAAACGATTTACGCTGCTGTGTGTCGGGATCCGTGAACCATCAGGATCGCAGATAAGACTACTGCAAGGTGTTGAGTCGCTACCCAGCGGCTCAATACCCCGCTCTATCTAGTAGCCCATAGGATTGATTCTCATCATCCCACCGCACTTACTTATGTGACACACAACCATCTCTTCCACCGATACGAGTCTGGGATCAAGTTTTGGCTCGTCTGGCAAGGATTCATCTTTTTTTTTTTTACCCAGTGGTCCTGGAGGATCCATTTGTGGTTCTCTCTGGAGGATCCATTTGCTTGTTCCTCTGAGCAGTATCCATTTGTGGTTCCTCTAGAGGGTTTTGCCCGGGAAGCCGATTGGCCACCCGTGCAATGTACATATTGATCACCACACGTTTCTCTTGCGCTCCATAGTCCACTACTCGCAGTGCATATAAGAGATTGCATGTACACAACTGCTGTAGCAGTTACGCAACTCTCCCCTCAGACTCACCGCAAGATCGCAAGAAAAACACAGGGACGCGACGAACCAATGGTTAGAGTAAAGTGGGGTATTAAGGGACACCCCCTAATAAGGGACACTTTTTTCATATGGACGTATCTCGGCGCACAATCCGCGGAGACCCCTGATTTTTTTCGAGGTGGTTGCAGCAAGCCGTTAGCTTTCGTTTGCGCACTTCAGCGTGCTGATCGGATCACGCAGTCACGAGATACAGCAAAGCAACTCCCAGCACCGCTGATGCGGTGCATCTTGCTCCTTTTCGGGGTCCTGCTGCTAAGCATTGGCCCGGGCACAGATCGACGCTTCTAGTTTCGAAAGCCTGCGACTCGCTACAGAGCAGATATCAACCAGGGCTGCTCCCACAGCCTCTAGGGTGCCCAAGAGCACCCTACACACGCGTACGCAGTAGAAGGGGACCGTGGGTGCCAAGGACAAAGGCCAAGTGTCCCTTCTTTGGGGCTCGGGGAGTTTTCCGCCGTATCTTCGCTGACAAGTGAGGTGTGCTTCACCGGGTCTATCTCATGCCTAGACTGTCGAATCTCCTCACTGTTGCTGTTGAGACCTAGCCTGTGATCAACCGTATTGTGCGATACATCCACATCCTTGTAAATCGTTCCCATGCCAGAGAACGAGCTGTTTGCGTGGGGGGTGCCTTAGGTGTCCCTTAATCGGTACTTTTACTCTAGTGCGCATATTGAGCGGCGTACATGAGGGGTGTCGTGCCCGTTTCATCACCCTCGTTGATATCTATCTCCCCAGCCGAAGTTCCGGTTTCGTGTTTAGCACAACAGCCATGTCCTTTATGCGAGAACTCTTCATCTCCTGAGAGCAGCGCCGCTGTATGCAGGACGCAACCGCTACCTGCAGCGTTGTGCAGCTCGTTCGTGGGGCCTCGAGGCCACTTTGGGGGGCGGCCCGTACACAAGCTTCATGGGCACAGCTATGGTATCTTCTTCTCCTCTTCACTGCCGTGTACTGATTTGGCTGGCACACTCGCACGAACCGCTAGCTCACCCAAGTCTCTTGTGCGCTGCAAAGCATGCAGAGCTCATGGCGGGGGGGCTGTCATATTGCGCCCCCCACCCCCAACATCCCAACATCTACCAAATCTACCCAGAGTGGTGCGAGAGCCAGCTCCAACAGGCGGGGACACGGCGGATGATTCTCACCTTCCTGCAATACCAGTCCACGCCACTCTCGCTCCTTCACCCACTCGCGCAAGCTTTCTCCACTCGTTCCCTCTGTCTCCACCCCTTTCTTCCCCTTGCCCCCTCTTGGCGCTTTAGTACAGCTTCCAGTACATGCATCGGCGCGTCGGCGCGGTCGGCGTCACCGTTTGAAATTCCGCCGCGTTTTGCGTTCTGCCAAACGTTTCCAACGTTTCATGTGTTCCTGTTTCTATGAAATGCACCGACCTTTCAGGTTTCATGGTGAAAATATTTGGTTTCCTCCAAGAGTTGGGCGCCATCCGCAACTGACCGTCATGAATTTATTTGGGGGGGGGGATGGTGATGAACCATCCCCGGCTAAGGTCTGAAAATTTTATGACATACTACTCCGTGGATGTAAATAGTGGATTCGCTTTTTTTTTTTGGTACTGTTTTTGGCCGGGTTTCAACTCAAATTCCGTTTTTTAAACCCAGGGCATCCGAAAAACGCACAACCCCGGGGGTGGTCCCGAAAAATCCCCGCTTTTCAAAAGTGGTCAGATCGATCTGAAAATTTCAGATCAGGGTAATATTGGGGTGGGGATTACGAATCCGTGGTTGTTATTTTTTTATTCCATTTTGGTCTTTCTTGAGCTACAGGCAGATATTTAGCAGCATCACCTCCTTGAAGGAAATCTAATTCTTCCAGTTTTGATCACAACTTCTCGGGTACCCCCCGCCCCTCAAGTTGTACCCCAAATGGGCTTTGAACCCCACCTACTGCTCCACAAGCAAATACAAGAAGCACATCCCTTAAAAACCAGCCCACCTCCCGAAACGGGCAAAAAATTGGGCTCTTCCTTCCTACCAAGCTCTTCCCAAATCTTTGACGCAGCTGCAGATTCGCATTCCTGTCATTTTGTCCCAGTAATTCTCTTAATCTTGCATTCCTTCTTCCTACTCCCGAACTGGATCCCCCGGGAGTTGTCTTCGTCTACGGGCGCTACTCCAGTGTCCATGATCACCGTTTCCTTCACTTCGCCCTCCCGCAATGCGGGAAGGAGACGTGGGTACGTCTTGCTGACGTAGCACTGCTCATGCTCGCAACGCTGGCACGCCGAGCAGAAGCACGACGCCAACCGAGTCCTGAGCCTGTACGTCCGTTTCACCTTTCTGCAAGTCACATCTTCCTCCCCCGACACCGGATCCTGTAACCCAGCCCCCTTGCCCTTACATCTGCTCGCTACTGCACCCAACACCTTGACTTCCACCAACTTGCTCTTCTCTTGACTCGACAAGCTATCCCGCCCCTCGCGCTTGCGTACCAGCTTGCAGTCATTTTCGAGTCCCTCGGTCGTGGTGGACCCATCCCACTTGGGAGTGTTTGCTCCCGCGAAGTGGTACATGTCTCGTGTACCCTCTATGCCTGCCAGGACCGAGTTTGGCCGATATATCTCCTTCTTGCCGATACACTCGACGTGCACCCTCCGCATGCGGTACGGAGACCACTTCGCGAAATACTTCCGCATACCCTCCCCCCCCTCGCTGCCTGCCTTCTCCCGAAAGAAGCTTCGCAAAAAGCTGACCACCCCGTCCGCCCCCATGATTCGCTTGTCAAATATCTCCCTCCTCTTCATAGCGTTCTTTGCCACTCCACCGATCCCATCATGGCAACCTTTGAAGTGAGATGTGACCGCGAAGTGGTGGTCGATGAAGAAGCCGATTTGCCGCACGCTGTCGGCCAAGAAGCGGAAATTCCGCCTTCCCTTGTACCGCTTCCCGCATCCATCCGTGAACATGTAAATCCTGGGCGTCCGGCCTTCTTTCCGGGCGGCAGCTGTTGCTTCGCTCCCATCTCCACGCAGGTAGTAGTCCGCCATCCTGGCCAAGCCGTGCAGGTGGAAATCGCAGTCATGCGCCATGTTTTCAGATGCAAAGATCCATGTTTCCGTCACGTGCACCCTGCCATCCCCCACGTGCGTCTGCGGGTTGAAGTGGACGATGGCCACCATGAGCGTTGTCTGTGGGTAAATCGGCATCATCATGCTGATGAAGGATTGGTGGGTGTACTTCTCGGCAAAGTCGGTCACGATGACAAGGTCACCGTCCTGAAACGTCTCCAAGCAACGCCCGTGGCAGGCCTTTGGCACTTGGCGATAGAGTGGTGAACCATGTACAGCTTGGTGTGCTCTTTAAACGCCGACCAAAGATCGCAGAGCTTACCCTCCTTCGGCACGGTCTGGTTGGCGAGTTTCTTGGCCTTGATCTTCCCATCTCTGCTGATGCAGGCGCAGTGATCACGTCCTCGAAAATCTTCCACACCACCGTCTGCTCGGAGTTCTCTAGCTTGCTGCAGATGGGAATGCCGTCAGCACCCCGGAACCCACACTTCGCGCAGTCCAAAGCGTTGCACTCTGGTTTCCGCCCCNCTGCTGATGCAGGCGCAGTGATCACGTCCTCGAAAATCTTCCACACCACCGTCTGCTCGGAGTTCTCTAGCTTGCTGCAGATGGGAATGCCGTCAGCACCCCGGAACCCACACTTCGCGCAGTCCAAAGCGTTGCACTCTGGTTTCCGCCCCATCCAACCATCACCCTCCGGGTCCGCTGGCCGCAAGTTGACCTTGGGGCAGGCAATCGCATCGGAGAATGTGCCCAGTGTTTCCACGTTTCCCGCCACCTGCTGCCGCCATTTGCGTTGCACCATCGACACCGGCATTCCCCGTGGCTGGTCATGTCGACATTGGCCAGGGCCTCGATATAGCACCTACTACGAGCAGATCTTGCACGCGCACTGCTCCATGGCAGGGAGGACCAGGCACTCGCACCGCGTCGAGAGGAAGAGCGTGCGGCCAGGGTCAGTGAAGTCGTCGCTCTGTCGCTCCTTAAAGCTCTTGTAATACGCCCAGGTGAGAAATTTGGCGTACACCGCGTCGCCCCCGCCCGGCTCGGTGAGCTGCCGCCGAGGGTGGCGGTGAGCTGTAGGAGACTTACTCGCCTTCCACATGTCGCGCTCAGCTGAGTTGCCATGCTGGCGTGACACCTCGTCCGTGTGCCAGTACTGCCTCATCAACTCCAGCAGCTCTTCGCTGGCGGCATTGCTTTGCTTAGCTCGGGGCCAAAACCAGTAGACACCGCGTTTTATCGCCTCGGTTGGATAAAGATCGGACAGCAAATTCTTGGCACGCTCCACCGCGAAGTTGAAGTCGTGCTCGCGAACCCCCAGCGCCTTTGCCCGACGTGCTGCCGACAACGATGGACCTCCTCTACGCCGTCCCCAGGAAAGGCCGCAGCGGTGAGGATCGTTTGCAACGTGCGGCTTCCCTCNTAAAGATCGGACAGCAAATTCTTGGCACGCTCCACCGCGAAGTTGAAGTCGTGCTCGCGAACCCCCAGCGCCTTTGCCCGACGTGCTGCCGACAACGATGGACCTCCTCTACGCCGTCCCCAGGAAAGGCCGCAGCGGTGAGGATCGTTTGCAACGTGCGGCTTCCCTCCTTGGTTCTTCGTTGCTTTTGCGCATGCTCGATTGCTCGTTCCAACGAGACTGCTGTGCTGACCTTGTCTTCCAACTCTCGCAAGCGTTTACGGGTGTCCTTCGCAAACATCGAGCCGATTTCTTCCAAGTGTTTCAGCGCGTTGTCATACCCCATGCTGTCCATGGACGCGAGAAACGTTTCCGTAGACTGCTGGCACCAGTCGACCGGCGCCGTCGGTGTGCACACATGACGAACGAGGAGGCAGGGGGTACGACGTTGCGCAATGCAATAATACTTCAGCGCAAGGCACGACTGATGGGGAGACCATTTGCACACACAAAATTGGGCGCTTAGTTTCCGTGGGAACTTGCACAGACCAGCTCTCGCTGTACAACTACGCGATGTTTCATGCAACTCGATCCGCTCGGTGGAATTAAAACCCCCTCGGCGCGATTATTCGTGTGTCGGCGAAATTACCGCATGTGTTGACTGACGAGTGCATTGTAGTCTAAGTGGGCTGCGACAAACTTATCTGCTGTGCTGTTGATTGACTGAAACCTCTAGCGACATTAGCATCTCACCGGCTCAGCTGGCTGAATTTTCACCACCCTGGATCGGGTCCTGCCACCTCCTCGCAAAGCCGCCATGACGGGGTCTGCTACCTCTCTGTCGGCATTCCTCCTAGGGCCACCACCGCTGCTGCTGGCCCCGAATGCCCTTGAGCCTTCTCCCACTTTTCGCGCTTGTTCTTGAGAACTATGTGAGCCATCTCTAAGGCTTTTGAGGTTACACTTTCTTCGGTATTCTCAACATAGACCTGGCGCTTGCTCGAAGACCTGTTGGGGTTCTTCTTGTTGACGAGAGTCGTCGTCAACAGCACCTCTCCGCTACCCTTGTGTAGTCTCCACTCGTGCCGTACGACATGCCTAACCTTTCCTAGCCACAGCAGTATGCGTTCGCACTTACCCGGCTTTGACACAGGTGCCGCTGGCCCAGCTCCAGCTGCACTGATGTTTGAGCCCGCACTCAGCTGAGTTTTGGTCTGATCACTTTTCTGAGTGCCTCTAACCCCCCTGAATCGGCCGAGCGGAATCGATTGCCGAGTTGTATGCATAGAAATAGGCCTGTCCTCCATCGGCCGTTTTGCTTGTATGACGGAGAATAAGAAGGTGGAATTACTTGAAATTAGTATAGAAATAAAGTTTGTGTATCTAAATCGAAAATAAAACGGCCGATGGAGGACAGGCCTGCCATAGAAAAACTAGTTCGGTCGGAAACGCGGCGAATTTGTTTTTCGAAAGGGTTCCCGAACCAAATTTATTTCCAACATTTTTTCAGGCGTTCTTTGTGCGGTTCTGAAAGCGTTAAAAAACGGTTCTCAAAAATCTCTTTTTTTTTTTCAGTTGAGCAGGGCGTATGACTGCGCTCAGTTGCGGATGGGGCCTCTGGCAGATATAGAGGGCTGCGAATATGTAGTGGGGGCCATCACCTTGCGTTTGCTGGTGAAGAATTTCAAAACTTCTCGGCAACAACTAACAGCTGCACAACGTCAATATCCTTTGTTACAGGTGGGGTGGGAGCACGGAAGGAGCAGCAGTGGGACGTTTCGCGTTGGACACGCTACCCAGCAACCCTAGTTTCCTATGTATTGAGGGTATCGCACGATCATGTTTCTTACTGGGAGATTTCTCATGTTGTTGTGGCCGAGAATGAGCTGTGTTTCTTAGTCCTTTTTTCTTATTTTTCGGAAAAAAATTGAGCCTTATTTTCTTGACGGATTTTTGCTTAATCGCGGGCCCGTACTATATTGGAATTGTCCGTCACGCCGACACCGAACTTTCACGAACAACGAAGAAGAAGCAGACGGTGCTTGAATCGAACGAGGGCTCAACAACATGCTGTTAACAGCTCCAAAATTTCGATGTACGATGAAGTCTGGCGCCCGCAGTTTGGAAATCTCAATTTAGGGTTCAGGCTGAACTCTTCCATTCCCATCGTTTATTGGTCATGTACGAACTCTGTATCATGACTGATTTTCTTTCGAGGTCATTTTTCTTTTCTTCTGCGTCCGTCACCGTTCGCCTCTTCTTGTTGTCTCCCGCGCTAAAAACCTTGTGGAACCCCCGCCAACTGTCAGAAAGCCTGTTCGGTGTCAGGTCTTGCTGTCGCTTCGAATCGACACTGCTATCTGTAGTCTCTCCCACACACCCGCCAAAAGGAGCACCGAAGTCAAGAGACACTTACTAAAGGGGCGATGGGGGGGGGCACCAGCGTTTGTTCGCCCACCCTCCACGGTTGCAGCTAATCTACGGTGGAATTTTGCACGTTAGACTATGTACGGTTCGTCCGTACACGTGCATTGCAAAACATGTTGCCAGACGAACGTTGGCAAAAGAAGCAGATAGGCAGCGAGGTCGCGTGGTCCCCGAAACAGAATACTACCAACGACAGACGGGGGGGGAGAGCGTCTTGCTTCCCAGACGATGGGACAAAACGATAACACACAAAAAAACAACACAACACGCCGGGTTTGCATGCCACAGGCTGTGAGTCCTTTCGTGTCACAATTTTCAATATCTACAGCACAGACACCGGTACAATATTTGGTTCGTAGTGCACCCCCCCCCTCCCCTCCTGGCACCTACTAGTACTTGTAGCACCGGCTTTTCTACATGAAGCACATAGTTTTTGTTTCTTTCCGGATGCGATGACCGCAGTTGCCAAGGCTCGGCGGCTTCGATATCTCAGTATCCCACGGCCGTCGTCGTGGTGGGATATGTTTTTGTGCAAGTGTTCTTGTGAAAACACGCCACGCCGTCGTGACGTTGTGTTGATCAGTAGGAGGAGAGCACACTGCGTGCTATGCGGCACCATAGATACTAGCCGACGGGCTCAGATACAGGAAAAAAAAAGCCACCCCGCCGGGGTATCTCGTTCTACTATGCATTACGTACTTCTATTGCGCTATGCTCTCGCCGTCGACGGTCGTGTTTAGCTTCGAGTGGCACCCTCCCCACACCCTCCCCACGCTGTACACGCATGACCCCAGCGCATGATCAGCATGATCATACGTGCCTCATCAAGCCTTTGGAAACGAAAAAACACGGCAGCAACCCAACACAAGAGTGACAGGGGGTTACTGGGGCACCTTTCTCCCCTCCATACGCAATCACACCGCCCTACCTCTGCATACACGCGCAGGTCGAACGCACTCACTTCCACAAAAGTGAAGGACTTGCGAAACCAGGCAGACAGGCTCGGCGGGCAACCAGAGCAGACCTACCAAAGCAGCTGCACAACACATTGCAAAACAATCACAACAAGAACTAGGTATGGGAATATACTTCGTGTTCGTCCGAACGTTGCCGCATCGCCACCCGGGGGGCACACGCTAAACACAACAGCCTTTAGGGCGGTAAGCCTCGGTGCTTACAAAGCCGGGCTACTGCGGTCCTTATGTTGTTTCTATTTTCCTCGTCACACTCCTCTTTATCCAGTGTCGCCGCCCGCGTTACTCTCGGCTGTGTCCGCTTTCATCTGGTCACGGTGAAAGAGGGAGAGACAGAGGGGGGGGGGTTGGGTACGGAGGCACCCCCGAGTGAGCAGCGCACCTTATTTTGTAGGATCAATGGGTTTCCCGGGTGAGCAATGCAACTTCTGTGTATGGATACGTTACCCCGGGTAGAAATAAGGCCATCCCACTAACTAACATGTAACACCACATAACATCGGAGTAAATATGCACAAAACAACAGAAACGACTTGTTAGCCAGCGCACAAGGCAAATTTAACCTCAGAATAAATGCCATCACAACATGGCACGGGGGACCCTCCAGCACGAAGCCGACAGAGGGTTGCGGCGCTCGGTGCGGTGTTTCTCAAGTGTTTCGACTACCCTCTCTGACGAGCGAGGGGTTAGTTGCATACCACCAGCTACAAAACAGTAGTGACGATAACACACAACATTCTGTACATTTCCCACGCACACACACCACGCACTACCCGCACTCTCCCACCCTATGGTTGCGGTATTGTAACCACAGCCGAGGAGAAGAGAGCAAAGAACAACCTGGGGGAATGAAACCCATCTAGAGCGCGAGGCACGACCACGCGATACCGTACAGAACTACTCCCCCAAAAATCGGACAAATCAATCACGACAGTAACCACAGTGACGACAACGACCGAAACGGTTATGTCCTACACCCATCCTTCCTTCCACCCACGCCACCCCACCTGAATGATGAGCGATCGCATCTTTTCGGTTGCCCTGAAAACGTCCTCCCCCTCCATCCCACTCTGCGCCATGGCAGAGCCCTTGCGGCTGCCGCCGCCGCCTCCGCCTCCGGAAGCGCCAGCGCCAGCAGAGAAAGAGGATTTCGCAGATATGACCGGCTTCTTCAAATCTACGAGGTCGCATATCCTGGCCCAAGGGTTGGAGGTGGACTCCTCGATCGAGGCGGACACCCCCTTAAGGAACGTCTCCTCCTGTTCGCGGCTGCGGGCCTGCCTCCGCGCGACCTTCGAGGTAGGGCACGGGAAGGGGGCCAAGAGAGCGCACGCATTTGTAACACTCGTTATGTTGCACGCGGCGCTTCGATTCAGACGTAAGCGGGTTAATATTTCTTCGGCCACAGCAGTTCTTGAGGCAAGGGCCAGCAGCAGCAGACGTCCTACAACACATGTGAGAGACGACACAAAAGGCATCATCACCTCGTCCGTGCGCCCGTCGTAAAATCCGTCGAGCTCCTCCTCCGCCAGGCGCTTCACCTCAGCCGCCTTGGCGGCCTCCTTTTCGGCCCTCTCCTTCACCACGGCGTCAAACTGGCTCTGTGCCTCCTCCATCACTCCGGCCGCCTCCTCGAGGCTGTAGGGGTCCGTAGGTTTTGGCTGGTACGGCGACGACGACGCCTAAAAGAGAGAGAGAGACCGCGGGGCATGGGGGTCGCGAGTTTGCCTGAGTTTTCTACCCAAACCCAAAACACCGTGCTCAGCCTAAAGCTGTCGGAAGGTGGGGCAGAGAGCAGCCCCACTCACAACCATACGGCTCACGGCGTGGCAGAAACGTTTTAAGTTGGCCTCAGGGCTGAAAATAATTGGGGATTAAATGGTCCTGTCCTTCCCCCCGCCCTGTTAGAGTTAGCCCTGGGTGGGTGTGCTTTGTTATGTTGCAAATGAATGCTACCAAGGCACCGCATGGCACTTTAATGGTGATGTTGTGCGTGGCGTCAGGAGAAATCTCAACTCAAAGATCCGCAGCAGTGCGTGGTCCACGACTGACATAAAAAAAATGATGGGACGGCGAAACAACGCGTGGGCCAAACAATCAATTACTTAGTAACCAACGCCGACTTCAGTCTCAACTACATGTACAACAGAAACAAGTAACAGTGCGGCCCTCTCGATCGGAGCCCACAAGTTTTCCCGGCTACTGTTTCATGCGGTTGCTGAGAAATGGTTGTTCGAACATGCTGGCTAGGTTGGCTCGGCGCAACATCGCGAGTGAGATAGGACAGGGAAACCAGTGGGAAATATGTGAGGGTAAACCACATTGTCCGACACCACAAGGGGATCTTTTTATCTCGGGGCACTCTTTTCTTCGATGACCGGCACTCCCCTTCTCCTTGCTGGAGTTGGGACTCCGGGGCGTGCATAGAATATGGCGCTTGGCGAATCCCGCCCCTGCCAGCCCTGAGCAGAGTACGGTATACAGGGTGACGTTTGTATCCGTCGATCCCTTTCTGTCGCCAAATCTCCCTCTCTACATGCATTTCCTCTCTCTTTCTTCCGCGGTCTTCTCGCAGACGGACGCCACGGAAGTCGCCTCCACCCATAGTAGGGGCGAATCGTTGCGGACCACCACAACCTCGGGCCCCGAGGTAACATCGCTTTCATGTCTCGTTCGCTCCCATGCATACTATGGCGTACCGTAATCACTACTGCAACGCCCACACAGCAGCAGCGGGTACTCCTCGACCCTTGTCCCCGTAAACTCACCTGCAGCGGCACCCCCTCGAACTGGTCGCCCCCGCCTCCTCCGAGTCCTCCTCCTCCTCCGAGTCCTCCTTCTCCTCCGCCGCCCCCACCTCCGAATTGCTCGCCGTCACCGACTACTCCAAACTGGTCCCCGCCGCCGCCTCCCCCGCCGAGGTCGTACGCTGCGGGTTCCTGCATGCCGAACACTACCGGCGGCGGTGAGCCCGCGTCAACAAAACCGGCAGACGCTGCCGCCCCGGGGTCCGCGGCCTCGCCGCTGCTGCCCCCGGTGGCATCCGGGAAAAACGGGTCTGCGTACACATAATACATCCGCACGCCACAAATTATGTGTCAACTATAAACGTTGGGTGTGTTTGAGAAGGGGGGGTAGGCAGAAGTTGCAGCGAGGTGATATTTGGTTGCACCGCGTGCGGCAGTCGGCTATCGTCGGGAAGAGCAGGGTTTTTCCAGGGAACGCCCAATGTCCAACGCGCCATGGCGATCTAACGGAACACTGCTGGATCCGTGTTAAATATGTGTTGATAACGACAGCCGTAAAACAGATAAATCGTGAGGATGAAATACACCGCAGTGCTGGTTGCCGCTGCGTGGTATCAACGCCACTGAAATGGCTCGAGAGGTCAATACTGGAACACACTTAGAGTTACGCCGATAAGAGCGGCCATGGTTGCGCGCACCTTCCCCCGACATGACAACCAGACAAGCCCTGCCTCTCCTGTATCAGAAGGCCTGCCCCTCCGAACACCTCACGAATTTGCGGGCGTGTGCAGGACACGTGTGTGTGGCTGGGCGCCGTGGATGTCGGCGTTGTCACCCTGGCTCAACAGAGAAACGTGGCACGCAGGTTACAGGTTAGCAACAGCCGTATTGCGGAGAACGAGACGCAAGAACAACGTAAGCGAAAAATGAAACACAATGCTGGATGCACGTGCATATGCATAAACAGAGGGAAAAAGCAGGTGAGTGCAGTGTACAGCATTTGCTAGGAACGACAAGCGAACCGCAATGAAAGTCCGCATCGCCGGTGCGCGTGCAACGCGGGAAAACCACTTGTACACTGCTGTAGAACCGCCGCAATATCATGACTGAACCTCAGGGGTTTGGAAGAACTACTGAGAACCTTGCCCGCGGCTACCTTTTGCAAACAGAAGAATCGATCCGAGGGATATCCAAAACTGCTGCAGCTATGCACGTCCAAGCCTCTGTACCGGATTTTTAGCACGGGTAGACCCAGCTGTGCAATAGTTGTTTAGTGCCGTTGCATTCCTGGGTGCGCAACGATACAGCAGCTTCTTGCGTGTGGCGGATGCCTTTTACACCTTTACCGGCACGCGTGTTTTACCCTCGCGAGTGCGCGACAACCGGGAATGACTACGGTTGTTTCACTTCTAGACGTTCCTGCTCTTGCATGCATACTCGCTGCCTTGTCAAAATTTTGGCACGTGCCACAACCGGAGCTATGCTGTAGTCTACTTGTTGTTGACACCGCCGTCTGGGCGCTTGTGCCCTTCGGCAACTTTTCGGGAGGATACAATGCCGAGAGCTGCTATAGGTGGGCAAGGGTAGCGATTCTTCCACGCAGAAGCCAGCGGTTTTCACACGGAAACAACGACAAGAAACTCAACGCATTGCAGAATTGTCGCTGGAAAGGTGGAAACTAGGTACTTGTAGTAGGGAGAGTCCCTCCGGGTGTGCCTTGGGTCTTTTCTCGTTTGTCTGCTGTGTTCTTAGACCTTCTCCGCGTGTTTTGGGGAGTAGCATCGCTCGGTTTGGGAAACAGGCACAGCAAACATTAGACCAATCAAGTCTCCTGTAAGCATCACTATGTTGATGACCAGCGTGTCGCAGTTCCTCTCACCTCTTGATGGCCGGGAACGAACACGTGTTACCCTCCTTTTGCTTCCCTTCCTTTGCCACTCTGTGGTCATGGAAACTCGCCTCTCTAGTCATTTTTTTATTATTTTTTTAAATCATTTTTTTTTTTCGCATATTCTGCCCCAATCATCCTACTTGTGCGTTTGTTGTGCTTCTCATAGATGCTGTTGGGTCCCGACATCGTCTGGGTCAACGCATCAGCGCTGTGTTATGTTGTACAGCAGGTGCATCGGGTGCATCAGAGCAGAAAGGAGACAACGCCCCCCCCATTCGCCCCGTGTTCTCTACCTTTGAGTTACCCCCGGGAGGCGTTCTCAAAGGATATTTCGGTATCCATAAATAGGGCAGTTTTTTTGTAAGACACGGAAGAACTTCCAACATTATCAATGTTTAGAGGAGAGAGCCGGGGAGATGCCCATCTCCCACCAATCACCCGTCGAGTTTGTACGACATTTCGTAAGACAGACAGATGATTGGGCGATGGGCACCACGCTCTCGGCAGAATCATCGAAATCCTCGTGCACAGCGGCACGATACATATTACGTAGACAACATACGATATCACCAGCACAGCAGTATCCGGACTGCTGTAGGCCAAGGGCAGCCAAAGTCACACATTAGAGGAGGCGTTGGGTATGACTCTTGCAGCCCGATGTCTGCTGCCGGCAGCACAAGCGAGTGGCGAAGCAGGTCAATCCGCGGTCGGTCTTCATCCCCCTCAATCAACCTACCGATCTTTGGAGCTTCCCGCATATACGCATCCATCCCCATAACAAATAGGACGAAGAAACACACACACACATCCCAAAATAGAGAAAACGAGGCCTACACACTGCTGTAGGCCAAGGCCGGCCAAAAGCACACATCATGGCTGGCGTCGGAAGCTATTCTTAGACCCCGAGGCCAACTGCTAGCAGCGTAAGCGAGGGAACATGCGAGTGCACCCAAGTCAGACCTCTGTCTGCGGTCTCTTCGTCTGCCGGCCGATCTTTGCTTGCACAACAGACGCACCCCAGAAACAGAGACAAGTGAGACGTACACAGCGCTGACAGCAAAGGGTGGCCAAATACACACGTTATGGGAGGGGTCCGGGCCATTTTTAGAGCCCGTTGCACTTTGCTTGTAGCGACAGCGATGAAAGCAAGTGCGCACCCATCCATGCACAGACAGAGCACAAGCGGCAGCAACAACAGCAAGCAGCAAAAAGCAGCAGCACTGCTGCCGCTGAGCTGATGATGATGAGAGCTAAACAGCGCTCCCAATCATCCCCTGACTGACTGGTGGTATCGGGTGAGGTGTGAGCGTGCGCACTGGTGACCTTCGTGGTGGCGTAGGCTCCATCCATATCTATCTACGCTTGCGTTGATGTCTCTGTCCTTGTCGCGCTTCGCGCGGGATAGTAGACTAGACTACTATTATAGTATAGACTAGTTTTATTTGTTGGATCTAGTTGAAAATAGACTGTGCTGTTGTTGTTGACTTCACATTAAACCGTATGCCAGTTGCTAAATGCCAAAATCTAGC